TATGTGTTGGCATTTTTATATAATTTAAAAATAATGACATTTTTTTTTTCCATCCACGTCAGAAAAAAAGGGACCTCTTCTTCCTCTTTCACTTTCTCTCTCCTTTACCTTTCCTTTTCCCTTACCTCTACAAGCCCTAAAATTGGAAGCTTAGCATCTCTCCTGTCACTCCAATCCCAGCAAATCCAATCTTTCTCGTTTTTCATTTTCTTTTTCTATTTTCCAGGAAAATTCTCAGTATCATTATTCTCTGTTATCCATTAATATCAACTGCTATTCCACTACCATAATCAGTTTCTTCTTCCTTTGTTCTTCTCCCTCTAGGCGACACCACCTGCTTGCTCCCTCCTTCCCTCGCGCATTTCATGGATGAAATGTATGGAATCCACTCCACTGGAGAGTATGCCTCGAGCAAGCCGTTGATGTCGTCGCCGGATAGTCTGATCATACCTTCAGATTACCACACCTTGTTTTGCTCCTCGAGTCAGGTTCCGATGTTTAGATCCAATGAGTTGCTCTCCGCTGCTTCGGCCATATCTGAAGCTACCTCCATCATGCCTGAAATTCAACCGGAAGAAGACATGTCCTCAGTAGATCTGCAAATCGCTTTGGATCTACGCCAAACTCTGGCCATCCATGGCTCTCCTTTGACTACTTCCTCTGTTTCTTTCCCTTTTTATTTCTCTCTCGGTTGCTGAGATCCGGTTCTCAGAGATCCACTTCGACAACCGCCCCATAATCCCTTTTGATAAGTTTGGATTCACCCACACTGGACGTCTTGAGCTCACCGTCTCCAACATCGACCTCTCGAATCAAAAACCTCGATCTTTCCAAGGTCGGGTTCTTCCTCTGCACCAACGATGTGTGGCTGCACGTGCTCCAGCAACTCGAAGACCCAGATCTGGAATAGGAGTTGAAGTAGGCGTGTGGTGGTTCAGCATGCTTGAGAAAACCCAGATCTGGGTTTGAAACCCAGATCTGGGGAGGAAGAAGGGAGAAGAGAGAGAGAGAGAGAGAAAGAACAAGAAGAAGAAAACAGAAAGATGATCTGAGTTTGATTTTAATTTTGCAGGAGTAGTAATAGGTTTAGGGTTTTGAATTTGAAAAGGAAATGAAAAGAAAAGAAACGAAGATAATTGAACTGTGATTTTTGGGGAACTTGATTAAAACTGGAAAAGGAGAAAACAAAATTTTCATGTGGGCCCCACTAAAAAGAGAAAGTGAGAAGATGATAATTTGACGTGTAAAAAAATGCTACGGTGTCAAAATTGTCGTTGCTAGATTTACACGTCATTAAAATAAAAAAAAAATTGGTGATTTTGTGGTATTTTAACGAGCCACTTGGCATTTAATTGACGGAAGGACCATTTTGGTACCAAAAATGAAAGTTTAAGGATAATTTTGATATTTTTTAAAGATAAGAGACAATTTTGATGCCAAAATGATAAGTTAAGGAACTAAAATGATACTTAAACCTTTTAAGATTTATAACTTTTATTACATTTTTATGATTATAAAGTCATTAAAGATTTTTAAGGTAATTAATAACTCATTTTTGTAAAACTTCACTTTTTATTTTATAACATTATCTAAGATACAATTTATTTTATAGACATTTTTTCTAAT